AGACAGTTTAATATTTAAGAAAGCCTGTTTTGAAGTTCAGCTCACCTGGGTTTGAGTTCCAGCTCTTTCCTCTGGGTATCTTTAAGCAGGTCAGCCCCTGCTCTGTGCCTCTGTGTTCTCATCTGTAAAGTAGGAATAACTGCAGTGTCTCCATACTTTTCATAGGGCATTAATGGGAATAAAATGCACATAAGTATTCTGCTTACTTCAGAATAAGTAACACATTGTGGGGTGTAACACACTGTAAACATTACCATTATTATTCCAAACCCTAAGCGGGAGGTGATTTCCAAAGGATTCACTAGTTAAACTGCCTGTCTTCTGCAGCTAGCACCGGAAGACAAGGCTGGGCCTCTCAAATCCAGCTGGGCACACTGCCAGGCCCTGGCAGGACCTTTCCTCACCCACCCGGGCTGCACCAGCACTGGCTCCTGCTCAGTTTCCTGTCTCCCCTTATCTTTCCCAGCATGTGCTCTCTAGAGTGGGAAACACTACCGCTAGCTTCCTTCACTTCCCTTTGCTCAAAGGGACCCTCATTCTTTAGGAATCAATCAAATTCCAATTGCTGGCTCTGTGCCTACTCTGCTTTGTGGTTTTCTGCCTCTTTGCTACTCAGGAAAGATGTAGCACAAGCTCCAACTCTAAGCACAGTATTTCTCTTCTCTTCCTTACTCCCAATGCTGGGATCCCCTCAAGTAGTCCTCACTCATGTTCCCCTACCCCCAATATCTTTTCCCCTCTCCTTTTACCCAGTTCCATACTTCATTCTCTTTGAGTTCAAGTCCTTACTCAGACTTTACAGGCTTTGTGATCTTGGGCAAGTTACTAAACTTTTCTGGGCTATATTCAGTTTACCTGTATCACAGAGAAAATGAGCCTAGTAATATCTGCCCCAGAGGAAGGGAAAAATATAAAGGCCTATCGCATGCTATGAATTTTTGGCATATTTTATACTATGTATAACAGATATTCAAGTATACTGGAAACTTGTGTTAAAAAATGTATTGAGGGGCCTCCCTGGTGGCGCAGCGGGTTAAAGCACTGCACTGGGAGGCTAAACCCACTTCCGCATGAGTTCGATTCCCGCCTGCCCCGGAGGTGACCACATGGTGTGGCAGACCTCTCCTGACCCGCCCACTGCTCCCCTCAGCAGTGTACTTTGTCCATCTGCCTGTTCTGCTCCCCGCTCTGTCTCTGGTGAAGCCTCTCACCGCCCCTGAGCCTCTGGCCTGTACCCCAGTTCTGTGTGTACAAATAAATAAATCTTTAAAAAAAAAAATGTATTGATAGAAAAAAAAAGCCCCCAAATTTTTGAGATACAAACACTTTGGAATCGGAAAGATGTGGGTTCACATTTAAGCTTTTGCTATGTAACCTCTGTTAAGTCAACTTCTCAGAGCCTCAGTTTATTATTAGTAAGATGTTGATGAAACCCACCTGGTATGGTAAGTGAGATTATTTATGTAAAGAGCTAAACACTGCACTTAATCACAATGTGTCAGCTATGATAATAATTACTGTCTCTGCTATTAATGCTCATGGTGCTGGTGTGTGAGGAAGGTGCTTGGAGAGAGCCACTGCAGTTGCCCCCTCTGCCCCTGACACATAGTAGCTTGGCAGACTTTTCTGCAGTCAGCTCTGTGGATGGTGGTATCAACCCATTTTAACTCCAACGACCCAGGCCCTACATGCTTAGACTGGAGATCACAGCACTCAGTTCCTAATGGGCTCGACCACACTTTGTTGCTTTCCATCCATGTCACTCTCCAAGCAAAGGAAAAAAGCAAAAGTAAAAAGACACTCAAACTCACTAGAAGTCAAATAAGGCAAAGTAAAACAAATGTCAAGGGCTGGCAGGGATACAGAGCTAAGGAACTCTTCTGGGAATTTAAATTAGCCCATACTCTGGCATTAGTAAAATTTTTTGGCAATAGCTAATAAAAATTTAAGCTGAAATATACCCAATGATTCAGTAATTCCACTCCCAGGTTTACAACTACAAAAATTCTCCTACATATGTACAAGAAAACATGTAAGTATGTTCACACAGGCTCTGTTAGTAACAGCGAAAAGCTGGGGGAAATTTTCAGTGTCTAACCCCAGAAGAATGAATAAATTGTGGTATCTTCATAAGAAGGAATATTAGAAAGGAGTCGGAGTTAGTTGACCTACATATAGCAACACACATGAATTTTATAAAAATGTTAATAATCTTAGTTATATAATAAGGTGACAAAGCAAGTTGTAGAAGAATATGTACATACATAAAGTCCAAAATATGCAAAACGTCACTATATAAAGCTTTGAGATATATGCACTCGATGTGTATATAAAAAATTAAGGAAATGAAAAATAGCAAACTCCAATTAGTGGTTACTTTGGTAGAAGAGCAGGGAGAGACACACAGGTGGGGGAGCACACACAAGGTTTATACTGGCAGTATTTTATTTCTTATGCTGGGTGGGGTCATGAATGTTTGCAACAAAATTCTTCCAGCATGAAATAATTCATAATATTTTATAAAAGGCAAGACAATAAAATTGGTGGTGATTTAAGGCCTTCCATTTTTTCCTCCCCCAGTACAGGAAATCAAGGCCCCATTCTTCTTCTAACTAAGTCAGTGAGCTGGAAGAGGACATTGATGTTATTTCTAAGCTAGTTTGCGTCAACTGAGAGATGAGCTTGGACACTCTTTCATGTATTCAGTTCAGTTCAGAGACTGGAACTTGTCCAGGGTTTGCCCACTATGACACCAACTCTCCCTCCAAGCAACAGTGTATAAAATAGTTTAAATTCCCCCTCAGCGTGTTCTCTAACCCCATTCCCAGAGGTAATCTCTATTAGCAGTACTACTCTAGCCATTTTCCCTATATATCTAAAAAATACATAGACACACACATAAAGATTTTTTTTAAGATGGGAGTTACACATGTATTATTTGGGCAAAAAAAATTTAGTTAAAAATTTTAACTAAAAATAGATGGACTTAATATCTCGTGTCAATACATCAGCTCACAATGATCCATCCTCCTTTTCTACCATATTTTATTACTTAAACTTTTATTTTTAATTCAACTAGACATATATGATTACGTTTTGAACAACACAATAGAGTGATAAGGCCTTTTATAAATAGAAGGATAGAACTTCCCACAAGATCACCAGCTCTAATGCACAGACACTTCTATACAATTTAATCTCAGGTTTCTCCCTGGAGCTAAGACATCACTATATTTGATGTAAATCTTGGCAGGCTATTTAGCTGTCATGTGTGGTAAACAAATACTGGTTCTAAACCGTACATAATGCTCTGTGATTTTTGTCCTGGTCATCTATGCATATCATAGCTATCTCATTCAGCCATCATTTATTATTGATTTATTATATATTTCTTATTACATACATTATTCTAGGCACAGTAAAGAACCAGATGGAGAACCTCTAACCTCAGAGAGCTTACAGTCTGGTGGGACAACCAATTATGTGAATGAATAATTTTAAGTGGTGGTAATTAATATGATGAAAACAGAGAGGCAATAGGGCGGAGAGAGAGCTTTTTTTTTTTTTTAAGATTTATTTATTCATGCATACAGAGCTAGGTGACAGGTCAGAGGTGCAGGGGCAGTGAGAAGATCCACCAGAGACAGAGTGGGGAGCAGAGAAGGCCGAGTGATGAACACTGCTGAGGGGAGTAGTGGGCGGGTCAGGAGGAGAGGGCTTTTTTTTTTTTTTTCATTATTAGTTTATTTTTACATATTTTTGTGCATTTTTCCATCTCACTTGCAATTCCTTTGGGTTTCCCATCACCAAATCACCCATGTGCCATCACGATAGTCTTCCAAGAGGGCTTTTATTTTAAGCAGCAGTATGACTTATTATAGTTTAGGATTTTCACATTTTTCTACCTGCTTCATAGAGTAACAACACATTTTACACTGTTACTCAAAACCCATGATTGAAGCAAGCACACACAAAGATACAACATTGATACAACTGAACAGTATTTCATGAAATAATGCTTGCCCTTATTAATGGTGATGTACTAACATTTTTTTTTAAAGATTTATTTATGTGTGCAGAACTGGGGTACAGACCAGAGGTTCAGGAACGGCGAGAGGTTTCACCAGAGACAGAGCAGGGAGCAGAACAGACAGATGGACGAAGTACACTGCTGAGGCGAGCAGTGGGTGGGTCAGGAGAGGTCTGCCACGCTGTGTGGTCACCTCCGGGGCAGGCGGGAATTGAACTCATGCGGAAGTAGCTTTTTAGCTTCTTAGTGCTGTGTTCTAACCCGCTGCGTCACCAGGGAGGGCCCTAACATTTTTTATTCTTTTCTATTTCATTAAACAAACAAAAATACCTACATCATGACCTGCTAATTATTTTTTTCCTACTATGTGACCTCAGGTTTACAAATACTGCTTTATGGAACCAATCCTATGTTGAGAATTAGATTGTTATAATTCTCTCTTATTACAAACGAAGCTGCAAGTGAGCTCCTTTATACTCATTTTGTGACTATTTCTGAGAGTAAGAATGTTAATTGTGTGATTACACATGTTTAAAATTCTGATTAAAATATGCCATGCTGAGAAACTGAATCCTTACTCCAGATCTGTCATTACATTGATGTAGAAAGGTCCAGTAAATCCTGCACCTTTCTGGTCCTCGGTTTCCCCATTAGTAACCTGCTGGTCCTACATCCCACCATCAGCTCTTAAGTTAAAAGTAGATGCCACACCCCCTGACTCAGCGAGGGCAGGGCTTCTTTCTCAGCCCTTCTCCCCCTTTTCCGCTCCTCCGTGTTCCTAGTGTTCCTCGGAAGCTGCCCTGGGAAAAGGGAAAAGGCAGGTCTGGGCTGGAGCGTGCAATGCAGGGCGGAGCAGGGGGAGGGCTAAAGGGAGACCGGCCCCCTAATAGGAAATGAGACAGAGTAGGAATAACACTTTATAAGTCTGACGCTCTCTTTCTCCTCCTATCCCACTGGCCAGCTTCCAGCCTTCTCAGATCAGCCTCCTCCTCTTCCAAGGCAGTCCTCACTTCACTTTCCCCTAGGCTGAAGCCTGCGGGAGCCCCCCAGCTTGCCAAAACCAGGTGGGGTCAAGAACCTCAGCCCCAGGATGTTGACAACATTGCTCCCATTGCTGTTTTTACTGCTCCTGCCTGGCTGGGTCCATTGTAACCAGGAAGCCTCAGATGGTGAGTCCGGGGCACATGTCCCGCCTTGGGATGGTACTGGAGAACTCTCTGCCTGTCTGGTACATGGGTGAGACCAGAGGAGAGCCTCTCCCAGTGTCTGTCTGCTGTCCGCTGGGTGTCTCTATAGGACAGGCAGGGTTCTGGGGATTGGCTTGTGTCCCAAAATCAAGGCGAGGAAGTACACAGTTCACCTATGATGGGAAGGGGGGAGATGGAAGAGGTGGAAGGATACAGGCCTGGCAAAATGGAAAGGGGGCAAGTTGAAAGGGTGAGGAAATTAGCCTCCAGGAGAGGGTGAGAGGGGGTAAGGTTGGAGTGGATGGTGGAGTGAGTGAGTTTAGGAAAGATAGGAGGAGACTAAGAGATGAGATGACAGCTGGAAGGAATGGGAAGATACTGGGAGAATGGATGGAAGACTTTTGGGGGAAGCTGGAGCTGAGATGTGTGAGACAGAAGGAAGTATAGAGAAGGTGAAGGAAGACCCAGGGTAGACAGCCAGTGAGGCATAACTCCTTCCTGCCCTCTCTGCAGGGGCCAGGGGCAGAGGAGCTGTGGTCTGTAGAAGAACTCGGGATATCAGATACCTGAAATAACTCCATTTAAGTAGAAAGTAATTATAGAGGGAATTTCTCTCTTTTCTCCCACCATCTCTATAGCTTCAGTCTCCCCCCTCAAATAATAATCAGGTCTTTGTGGAAGCTCACCATGTTTAAATGATCAATTTACTTACTTAAACCCCACAAGGAGGATAATATTATCTCCATTGTACAGAGGAGGAGACCAGGCCTCAGAGCAGTTAAAACCCTTGTTGAAGGTTACCAATACAGATATACATATACTTAGTCACACATGCAGATGTAGAGCATGACTTCTCAAATGCAAAAGTGGAACACACACATTTACAACCTCAGATATATTTCCTCCTGGAACATTCTCAGGACACCAATTTTGTAGGAGGACAGGAAACAGCAATAACCAGACATAGTTCAATAGCCTAGAGGAGTCCAGTGTAGCCTGTGTATTTGGAAAGAGTCAAGAAGCTGGGCTTATTGAAACAGACCCTCTCATATCTGGGAGGGTAGAAAGAAGGAGGCATCAGGAAAACTACAAGTAGAGGGCAGTTTAGCTGGGTCTTAAAGCATGAGGCAGAGCAATCTTGACATACTAGTCACAAGTCAGTTAAAAAACAGCAAGAGGAGTTCCAGTAATTTGATAAATATAAGCATAGGGAAGAGGGTGGAAAAAAGTAGCTGGCAACTTGAATGCTCGGCTAATTACCTTCACTTAATTGTATGGACAGATAGCCAATGGGGAGGCAGGATAGCTGAGTGGCTAAGAATGCTGAACTTGGACTGCCTGTATTCTAACCTGGACTCTGCCATACATTTCAGTTTGTTTCCCGTATAGACTGGGGTTAATAATAGTAGACTGGGGTTAATAATAGTAGTTACTGCATTAAACTATTGGCAGGTAAGCACACACAAGGTAATGAAGTGTATGAAGTTCAGTGCCCAGGTCATAATAAGCACTTAATATCTTAATATAATGAGTTGTTGTTGTTATTACTACTACTACTATTATTATTATTATTGATAGGGAAGTGTTTCACTGGAACACTTTAGGCAGCAAAGGACACAATCTTGACTCCTGCTCAATTAGAGATCAGATTAGAAGGGATGAAGATGTAATATGAAGGGAAGGGTCTGAGGAAGGAAGTGACTTCCCCTATGCAGATGAGAACAGATAAGGCTGATGTAGGACTTGCAGATACAGAAGATGAGATAGGGGTTTTACTATCGATCAGGGTTTGCTGGTCAAAAAGAAATGGGGGAGGAAAAAGGAGATTACTGTCTGGATTAACCTGGAACAAGTGACTTCTGCTCTTCCTGCCTCTGTTTCCTCATCTGTAAAACAAAGATAATAATCCCTGTGTTGCCCTCCTGGCACATTTACTGTGAGAGTCTAATGGAAGGAAGGGTGGGAGGACACTTTATAGTTTATGAAGGGCCAACAAAGTGGGTGGCTAGGCCTCCAGGTAAGGGGTTATTACTTGTGGTTGCTACACACCGACCCTCCCACACCGGCCTGAGCTCAAGGCACTGACTCTACCCTCAGGCCAGTTGAACTTCCACATGATCCAGAAGTCCTACTTCCTCAACCCCTTTCAAGTGTGGCATCAGGGCAACGCGTCGCTGGGGGGCCTTCCCACGCACACGCTGGAAGGTCCAGGCACCAACGTCACGATCCTCCAACTGCAGCCCCTGCAGGACCCTGAAAGCTGGGCAATAATGAAGCGCAACCTACACCTCTACTTGCAGCAATTTTGGGGCCTTGTGAGGCTGGTGCACCAAGAGCGGCGCTTGGACTGTGAGTTGGGGTGCAGGGGACAAGGCTGTGGGGTGGGGCAGGGGGGAGAGGGTGGGGCCTTATGGAAGGGCCAGGTTCAAGAAGTGGCGGGTCTGTGGAGGGGCACTGCACCGTGAGCATGAAGCAGGGTTGGCTGACTGCTCAACATCCCAGGGGCTTCAGGGTTCTTGGGTGTCCTAGTTAACTGGCCCTCAGTTAAGCCTTCTTCCTGCTAGTGTTACCTCTAGATAAACCCTGATCCACCCTGACCCACCAAAATTCATTGAAGTCTCTCCAACCACAGTCTTCCAATTCTTATCCCTTAAAGACCCCCATGCCCACTTCTACCCCAACACTTTACCCTGAAACTCCAGCCATCTCTCTTCACAGAACTTCCCTGATAGTTCCTCAGCACTTCTCTCACAACCCTCAACGCCTTTCCCCCAAAGATCCCTTTTCTTCTCTCAAAACCTCCACTCTTACACCATATAACTTCCAATTCCTTCCTTTCATAGACCTATTTCCTCATCATCCCTGACTCCTCTTCACAGTCTCCAACAGTCTATCCCAAGACACACTGCACAACACTCCCCTACATTCTCTTCCCCTTGGTGGACATTCCCCACATCTAGCTCCCTTTCCACAGAGCCCCCTGAACATGAACCCCCTATCCACAGTTCCTCTGAATGTTCGCTGCTTCCTGGGCTGTGAGCTGCCACCTGAGGGCTCTAAAGCCCATGTCTTCTTCGAAGTGGCTGTGAACGGGAGTTCTTTTGTGAGTTTCCAGCCAGAGACAGCCTTGTGGGTAGCCGGATCCAAATCACCCTCCAAAGTGGTCACCTACACCCTACAGCAGCTCAACACCTACAACCGTACTCGGTACGAACTGCAGGAATTCCTGCAGGACACCTGTGTACAGTACGTGCAGGAACACATCACCACGAAAAACACAAAAGGTATGATGGGGCTGAAGCTGGTTTTGTGTGTTGGGTGTGTTCCAGGCAAAAGGATGGACCTGAAGGAGGAATACCTTGAACAACAGGAAGCCCAGGGCTGGGGATTTGGGACAGAGCTGTGTGTACAGCTTAAATCACCTGGTGTTTCCATCCTTTGAGGCAGAAATTCCGTGGGGTTTTGCTTAAACCTGGAACACCTTGGGACCATGCTCATTAGGCTAATTCTCTCCATCTTTTGCAGGAAGTCAAACAGGTCGCTCCTACACATCACTGGTCCTGGGCATCCTCCTGGGCTGTTTCATCATTGCTGGCGTGGCTGTAGGCATCTTCCTCTGCACAGGTGGACGACGGTGTTAATTATTCTCCAGCCCCCACTCAAAACAGAGCTGAACTCGTGGGGGCTGGCAAAGGAGGATCTCAAAATCAGATTCCCCAACTGGGTTGTTACACCCTAGAAGCTTTGGAGTGGCAGATGCTTTCTTCTCCCAAATCTGCCAACCAAGAATTTGGTGCACAGGAGGCAAAGAGGTTAAACAGAGAGAGTACTGGGCTTGCTAAGAACTGAAGAATTTGCAAGCTTTGCTGAACTGATCCAAGAAGCAAATGTTTATCTTTGTGGAAAGCAGATTATGGAGTTGGGGTGAGGGGAGAGGATGTCTATGGCCCACCCTCAAAAGACAGAATCACCCAAGGCATTCAAAATATATAACTAATAAAACAAGTCATCCACAACCAAAAGAAACAACATCCAATGCTTCCAGGTGTGCCAGACTTGGGAAGGGACACTGGTATAATAGAGGTAGAAAGAAGTCACCACAAAAGAGGTGGAATTATAAATACAAATCATATGGGAGTAAGGAGTTACCAATTGATAATAATATTAAATTTCTTACTTATGTATAAGGCATTATTATTTCCACTACTTTGCAAAAATTCTGTAACAGTGACCTATCCCTTTCTCATCTCTCACTTGTTCTTCAACCCAATGCGGTCTGACTTCTCTGAAAACTGCTAGGAGATCACTGGTGAGCTCTGGTTATGATACCTTCACCCTCTGTTGATATCTACATGATCAGCTAATCAATCTCAGAAAATAGAATCAGGGTTAGAGCCAAAGTCACACACAGGAATGACCTAAGGATGCCACAGCTGGAACCACTGATCTGCCACGTTAAATGAATTCTACTCCTTCCCCCTGTATCTTCACTTCGTTTTTTCAAGATTCAAAGTCATGACGGAGCCTCCATCATGTTGCCTTTGCCTTAGCTGCCAGAGGAAGCAAAGGAAAACTTTCAGTATCTATAGCTTCTTGGAGGGAAGTAGGATCCTGTCTCCACTTAGATTCACACAGAAGAAGAGGTTTTAGATGTTGGAAAAACAATAACCAAAAATGAAGTGAACCCCCACAGTGTTCTCTATGTCTCTCATCATTTATTTACTCATTCAGTAAACATTTATCAGTATCATCCATAAGCCAAGTTTAATGCCGTATACTTTAGAAGATAAAAAATGACTAAGACAGTCTACCTCCCAAGGAGCTGACTGTTTTTTTTGTTTGTTTGTTTTTTTAAGATCAAACATTTACAAAAAAGGCTAATACCAGATAGGATATCCTAATAACTGGAAGAAATACACAAATTAAAATGCTATGTTGTGATTTCTGTTATAGCTTTTACAGATTGCTTCATTTTAAAAATTCTTTAACTTGCATTTGTCATTCAATATTCATCCAGATTTTATGAGATAGATATTCTCGTTTTGGATTAGGAAGCATACTTAGTGAGAATAGTAAGCAAAACAACAAGCGGAGCCATAATTCAAATCTATGAGTTTGTGCTTTCCACCCCCCAAGCCCCCCACAACTGAAACTAAGAGAATCAGTAATCTAGGGCTGGGGGGAGAGGTTTATGGATGGGTCAACTATGACTATGCACAGACGGAAAAGAGAGAGCCACTTAAATAAAGACATAGTTAGTGGGGAATGGAGTAAAGTTTAGGAAGAGTAACTAGTCACAGGCATTTGGAGAATAGCCAGGTGGTGGAAAATGAGACTGGAAAGGTAGGCTAAGGCCTTTAAAGCATGGTAAAGGATAGTGTTCTTTAACTCTTTTACAAAAATGAGAATTACTGAAGTTTGGCAGACAGAAAGCTGCTAATGATTTCTTTCACCTTTATGTGCATTGCAGTAAAAGGAACTTCAGGTTAAGTTGAGACCTCAGCCTTAAGGATCTGGTCTGGATGCTGTGCCAAACTAGTCCTTATCCTGTTAGCAAGAGGGAAAGGAGAAGATAGGCAGAGCTCAGCCAGAGAGTAAAATCCTGGCCTGTAATGGCTTAGAGATATTACTTCTTATCATCACTTCTGCTATTGCTGTAGTTCAAGCCTCCACCAGCTCTAACCTGGAACACTAGAATCACTTCTACTTCCTTGAAAAAGCTGCCATCGGCTCTTCCTGGTGGTGCAACAAGTTAGTATGCAGCACACTACAAGCTAGCGACAGTCACTTCACTGTGAGTTCAATCCCCAGGCCCGGAGGTCATCCACATGGCCTGGCAGACCTCTCCGGTCTTGCCCGCTGCTCCCTTCAGCAGTGTACATACGTGGTCCATCTGCTGGTTCTGCTCCCTACTCTGTCTCTGGTGAGTCCTCTCACCACCCTTGAACCTCTGGCCTATACTTCAGTTCTGTATGAATAAATAAATAAATCTTTTAAAAAAGAAAAAAAAATTGCCATCAAAATGATCTTCCTAACACGTGCAGTGTTCTGCCTAGAGTTTTTAGTCTTTCCACAGTCTATAATATAAAATCCAAACTCCATAGTATTATCTCATATTGTGGAAGTGGGGGGGGGTTCTCTTTTACTTTCTTACTTTTTTTTTTTTTTTGGCGGTAGCATTAGTTTACAACACTCTCTAGGTTTCAGGTATACAGTTCTTACTTCAGCGACATATATTTCACACCACACTCATCATGAATGCCTGGTCACTGTCCATCACCAAGCTGTTTCCTTCCTTTCTTTCCCTTCTGTGACCACCATATTGTGGTTAGAGTCTAAGAGTTTGTTTTTGTTTCTGTGTGTTTGAATTATTTTTCTTTTCAATTTTTTTAAATGAAATTTTTAGGAATGTATCTTCTTTTTCTTTCAAGATTTATTTATGCATACAGACCTGGGGTACAGGTAAAGAGGGGAAAGCTGTTTTTCCATTCTTAGGCTCAGGTCAACGAGTACAGAAATTATGTCTTGTTCATCACCATGTTCCCAATACCCAGCACTATACCTAGGACAAAGAAAAAGCCAAATACATGTCTGCTCAATGAGTAGGTTCTGGGCTGGTGTAACGGTATAAAGGCAAAAAGGATAAAAGTGCACTTGGACTGATCTGAAAATATTTTATGTAAGGAAATATGGGAGGTAAAATGAGTGTTGGGGGGACTTGATAAGAAAGCTATGCTACGAAGATATACTCAATTATATAGCAGTAGTTAATTATTTCCTTCTCTAGGGAAATAATACCCTGGTTCATCTTGGTATCCTTATCATCTAGAACAGTGCCAGAAATTTAAAAGACAATCAACAAATGGCTGAAAGCATAAATGAAGATTCTTGATAAACGAAATAATTTCATATAATTTTCAGTTTGTTTCAACAATGATAGCCTGTCATTATTATGTATAATTTTATAGTTACAGAAACACTTTTATTCTATTATCTGAAAAAAAAATGTTGATCTGACCAACAAAATCATTTCCTAGCAGATGTTATTATTCTCATTTCCTGGCAGATGTTTTCTACTCTCATTTCCAGTGTACAGAAGCCAAAATTCTTAACTTCCTCTAATATGCCTTCATATATATGAAGCATTGTTAAATGTGTGCCTGCATCTGACAGGTCTCTGAGGGGTAACCTAAGTCTTGCTCCACACTATCATACCCAAGATTTTGACAGGTCTCCTAAAGATAGATCTAATTCTATAATGCAGGGGTATTTCACTGATTACTTCATGAAGACTGAGAAAAAGACTTATCATACTCCAGGACAGCAGAAACCTTAGATATTTCTATTTTTCCCCCAAGTTTCTCTTCCTAGGAATGAGCTCATCTCTTTTCTTTCTCTTTCCATTCACAACCTTGTAACCCCTCCCCAATATTGTTCTTCTGCACCTAAACACATTTTGTTAATTTATCATGCATTTATTTAAAAATATATCATTGAGTGCCTATTATGGTTCAGATACCATTTCAAGAGCCATTAATATATCAAATAAACAAAGTCTCTGTCCTCATAGAACATACTGTTTCCTGGCAGAGACAGACAATAATTAAGTACATATTTATAGGATGTTGGTCATAATAAGTGCTAGGTAGGAAAATAAAGGAAGTAAAGGAGAAAGGAGTTATAGGTCAGGTACCATGTGATGACATGCCAGTCAACAATGGACCAATTACATGACTGTGGTCCCAAAAGACTACACCATAAAACCTGTATGTGGTATGATGGAGCTGGAAGGGATCATGCTTAGTGAAATAAGCCAGAAAGACAAGGGAAATTACCAGACGGTTTCACTCATAGCAGGAGTATAAAGGACCAGGGGAGAAAATAATGAACAAAATTATAATGAACAACTGTATACCAGAGACATTTTACGGGGGTGGAGTGGGGAATGAGATAAAAAATGGGGGAGGGGGACTATGGTGATGGCACACAGGTGAATTGGTGGTGGGAAGCCCACGGGGATTACAGCTGAGATGGAAAAAGGCACAAAATGATGTAAAAATAAACTACTATTATATTGTTTTTAAAAAAAAAAAAAAGCTTATTATGTGGGGCCCTCCCTGGTGGCACAAACTGGTTAGGACACAACACTGCAAGCCAGCCCACAGCTGCTTCAGGACATGTTAGATCCCAGCCCACAGATGATCCACGTGGTGCGGCAGACCTCTCCTGACTGGCCCACTGAGCCCCTCAGCAGTGTACCTCCTGAATCCACCTGTTCTGCTCCGCGCTCTGCCTCTGGTGAATCCTCTCTCACCACCCCTGCACCTCTGGCCTGTACCCCAGGTCTGTATGTGTAATAAATAAATCTTAAAAAAAAAACAAAAACCTGTATGTGTAGGAGGCTGCACCATCTAGGTTTGTGTAATTACACTCTATGATGTTTACATTACAACTAAATCATCTAACAACTCATTTCTCAAAATGTTCACTTATTAAGTGAAAAATAGCTATAATGGGAAAATGAGGGCCAGGAGTTGGTGTGTTGCTGATTTATATAACACAGCCAGGGTATACCTCTAAAATAAGGTGACAGCTGAGCACAGATCTGAAGGCAGTTGTAAATGATTCTTCAACTTTGGGAAGAACAATCAGGGAGATAGAACAAGTGCAAAAGTCTGAGGCATAATCTTGATTTATTTGATGAACCACAAAGATGCTAGTTTACCTGGAGTGGCATGGCTCAAGGAGAAAAAAGTAACAGGAGGTAAATTATATAGGTTCCTGTAGTTCAATTACTGCTACTCATATTTTTACTCTGAGTGAGATGGGAAGCCATTGGAGGCTTTTGAAAAGAGAAGTGACAGAATACGACTTTTCTTTTGGATCACTATGGCCACTGTGGGGGAAATAGGGTTAGAGACTAAAACACACTTGGGGGTCCCAGGAATACACACTCCTGTTCAGAGATTACTTTAATATGAAAGGAAGGTGGTAGGATGGTGTTAACAAAGGAGATGGGGAAACAACTTGGGTGTTGGGTTCGTTATTAAGATATAGCTGATGGGATTTGTTGAAAGAGTTGAATATGGATATAAGGGAAAGAGAGAGATAAAAAAATGATTCTAA